TGTCCAGGACTGGTCCAGGACTGTCCAGGACTGGTCCAGGACAGGAGACCATCTGCCTCGACCGGCTGGTTGGGGTATTCAACAGGAGCCAGTTTTATTGTCTCTACCAAAGCAGAAAACTTTGATTTAAAATGCATTGTTTGAGATATTAAAGCTAAAATAAGCAGAATTTGAGTTTTACTTTTAAAACAGGAAGAGGAAAAGAAGAGACTGCTAATAACTAAAATTAACATATGAGGACAAAAACAGGAAATATGTTGAAACAGATTCTCCAAAGTACATTTATAAGGGAGTATAATGTACCAATGCATTTTTGTAGGAATTTAATTTGAAACAATATTTTGAAAAGAATAAAAGTTATAAAATGAAAGCCGTAGCAGATGGACCATGAAAGGAGCCTTTAGTTTCAGGACCTCTGACAGTCCTGTTTCCAGCAGCAGCTTGTTGTGTTCTGACACATCTAGTGTTGTTTGGATAAGCTGTTATCTCACAGTGCCTTTTTACACACTGTTCCTACACTTCTTCTGAGACTAAACAACATGAAGTCTGTTCTTTACAAGTTAAACTGTTGGTTTGAAATCATTTTAACATTGTCATTTAATTATAAAAAGGTAAATTTGATGTTTTACTGGTGTTATGCTCCSTGTAACGAATGAATTCACCCCCTGCTGAGATGTTATGAGTTTAAAATAACTAAATAAACTTGTAGAACCTGACCTGTAGTAAACCAGGTCCAGACGAGGTCATGTTTGGATCCTGGGTTTTTCCTGGAAGCTGTAGAATCAACATTAAACACAAACTGTGGCAGATGTGTTGCTTCACTCTCAGCRCACCAAAAATAACCTGATCAACAACTATTTGAGAATAAACTCCAGAGTAACGAATGTTATTCTGCAGCTTTTCATCTCCACAGATGAGTTTTTATTACACAGCTCAAAAAGGCAAACGAGGGATAAAAACCTAAAGTAACCTTTGCTCTTCGCTCACTTGTTCCTCAGACTTTGTTTTTTGCAGTATTTTATACTGTATTTATATTATATTACTATATATATTAACTTCTCTCCTGGTGATGAGTTTTTACACAGGTTATGTGTGTTAGTAAAATAAATGAAACAATGGACTGTTTTTTTTAGGAAATCTACGACTGATTAACTTTTGGAGCTAATCTGAATCAACATGGCCGCCACAGCAAAGTGACCTTTACAAACACAAAACATGTCTCTGATTCTGTCTGTTTCACACATACTGAGCTTAAATTTGGTACGGCAGTAGCTCTGACTGACCCGACACATGTTCATGATTAAACAAATTGTGTAAGATAATTGTTCTAAATTTGTCCGTGACCTATTTGACATCAACTTGTTGACCAAATGTAACAACAGGAAACACAGAGAACAACCTGGCCTGTCTCTGTGCCTCTGCTTCTCTCTGTCACTGTCTCTGTTGCACTGTGTTGAACACTGTGTCTCCAGAGGCCTCATATACAGTGG